AGTATTCTCGAATATTCAAATCTTGATATAACAATTCTCCATAACAACAATTCTCCATAATAACAAATTGAGAGTCCGTCTCCAATTTCCTCGTGAGCCCGGTTCCAAATTCTCGTGTGCAGGTGCGTCAAGTTACTGGAAGTTACTGGAAGTTACTGGAACTGGATATTACTGGAAGTTACTGGAAGTTTCTGGAAGTCACTGGAACTGGAAGTTACTGGAAGTTTCTGGAAGTCACTGGAACTGGAAGTTACTGGAAGTTAATGGAAGTTTCTGGAAGTCACTGGAACTGGAAGTTACTGGAACTGGAAGTTACTGGAACTGGAAGTTGCTGGAAGTTTTTGGGGAAATCCCATGTGGGGAATCCTTTGGGTTTGGGATGCTCGAAACACTTCCATGGCAGCGACTGCCCAGCTGTTTGAGATCCTTAGAGACGCTTTGATCCGAAAATGACTCCAATTCGCCTGGGTACAAATGAGTTTTGGGGGGGCTTCAAATTCACAAATCCCATTGGTCGAGAAGAGTCACAGACTCTTTGGCTTTCTGAGCATTTTTTCATTTTCATTGCCGGCACTTCCAGAAATCCGACTGTGGAGAAGGCGCGCCCATCGTTTTCTCAGCTGAAAACAAAATGGCGAATGGGTTAATAATTACCAACACCTTGTAGAATCTGATTTGTTTTTTAAAGAATCTTTGCAATATCCAAGTTCACCCACTTGATCACAAAATCCAGATCTACTCAGGTTTTTAGTGACATTGGGCCTTGCTCCACTACTCGACACTCTACATGCACCTGGAGGCCTTTCTGGACCAGGTGCATTTGGAGGCGTCCATGCTCCACTACTCAACACTCTACATGCACTTAGATGCCTTTCTGGACCAGGTGCATTTGGAGAAGTCAACATTCAGAATGTAATCGGGACGATTAGGAGCTTCAGGTAGATACATAAGCGTGTTGTGGATTAGAACAAAGCGCGTTTTGTCTGGTTTGGCGGTGAATAAGTGCAGAGAAGGAAACAGGTATTTCACTTCCTTGATGCCAGGTGTCAACAAGCTGTTCCGGGCCTGCATCAGCTGTTTCACACCTTTATGCCAATTGTCAGCAGCTGCTGTTTGACACCTCCACGCCAGCTGTCGACAGCTCTTCCACACCTTTGTGCCAGCTCTCAACGGCTGTCTCACACCGTAGATATCCGCAGCTGTCAGAAGGTGTTTCAAAACTGAGCTGTTTCACAGCTTCGACGCCGGCTGTCAACGGCTTTTTTTCCCACCCTAGACGCGGATTGTGTCAGCACATGTTTCACACGTTTATCCTGCCAGTATCAGACTGGAAAGATAGGTTGCATGCATTCATGATCACGGTCTGTTGCAACCAGAGGAAGATGCTGAAAACCCAAAGGCAAACTCCTCAATTGACTCTCTCACGGTTGTTCTGCATTTTTTCAAATCGAGCAGTGCTGCCAAAAGGCAAAACGAAACGAAATAAAAGAGGGAGGAGAAGGAGAAGAAGTGGTAGTCAAGTCGTCTTCTAGGAGGAGGAGGAGGAAGAAGAGCAGCAGCAGCAGGAGGAGGAGGAGGAGGAGGAGGAGGAGGAGCAGAAGAAGAAGCAGGAGGGAGAAGGGGAAGGGAGTAGTAGTAGTAGTAGGAGAAGGAGGAGCAGAAGAAGAAGCAGAAGAAGAAGCAGGAGGAGGGGGAAAGAGAAGGAGCAGGTGAAAATATCCAACATTCAAGCTTCATCTCTCCAGCGACAAAAGCACTGACACAACACCCCATACGGAAACACGTCCCATTAGAAAAGAAACATAAAAAAAAAGAAAAAAAAAAGAAAAAAAAAAGAAAAGAAAGAAAGAAAGAGGCAGGGCAGTATCTGGGCTCAAACAAAGCTCTCCTTCACAGATACGGCCAATCTTTCAAAGTTCGAACTTTGAACAGACCCAAAAACGACAAAACACAAGAAACACCCAACACGAGACAGACAGGTCGCAAAACCAAACGCCGCCAAGAAGTTAACATTGATCTTCTCTTTCCTTGTTTCTTTCACAGCGCTCCCTGTCAATCCTGTTCTTCTTCTTCCTTTTTTTTTTTTTTTTTTTTTTTTTGGGTTGCTCCGAGCCAATCCCTTGGTCAAGGTTAAGAATATGATCGGTTTCTCTTCCTTATCGAAAAAACACACACAATGGAAGTTGGCCCCACCTTTTCCAGCACGGAAAATCAGTCCTCGACAACTCAGCAAACTCGCTTCTTTCCTCCCTCTTCCAAACTGGCCTGGCACGCCATAATTAAGGGAGGGCATGTCAGATAAGGAGGGGTCATAGGAACGAGTGGCACACAAAACTTTCCTTTCTTTCTAGTAGTAGTAGTTTTTTTTTCCTACAAGTTTCTAGTACTTTCTAGTGCCCACAGTGAAGAAAAAAACAAGAGCGAGGTCTTCCTTCACCAGTTTCACCTTGTAGGCAACCGACAAGTTTTAACTCCAAAAAAAGAAAAAGAAGAAAGGTCAGAAAACTGGCGAGAACTCGTCCGAAACCTATAGAGGCCAGAAAACCGGTGACAACATAATTTGTCGGCTCTTCTACGACTTGAAAATCACATAACGAAAAGGTGATCCAAGGAGCCCGAAAGAAGATCTGACACCTGTAGATATTATTGCTCACCGAATCCCACCCACCTGTCCCTCAACATATAGCAGCGCATCAAACCTGAGAGAGAAGAGAGTAGTTGATCTCAAACAACAAAGCGCACACTGCCAGCCAGTGCTACTACACGCTCTCCGTCGGCAAAACCAAATCCCGCCAAGGAACCGATAAAAAGATCTAACGCCTGCTGTAGTCATTATTCCTCACCAGATCAGCTGTCTCTCGACAAATAACGGTGCAGCCATCCTTAAAGATGAGAGTCGAGCTCGAGGCCTACGATGCGACTCGCTCCGAGAGCATGCGCACCCTGGCACCACGACTGCATTTTCAGTCCGCAAAACCAAACACCGCTACCAAGTCATGCTTAGTTGGCAAAGCCAGACACTGGTACTGCGTGCTAATTGCGTGCTAAGTCCATGCTAAGAGTGGGCCAAGCCAGACGGAACCAGAGAAGGATAAGTTGCCACGACCAGACAAGCTGTGCCAAGCCCGCAAAGTACTGGAATGCGTGTCAATGATGCAGATTCGAACCCCGCATGAGAAGTTCCACCGCTGGTACACGGCCCCAGTCTTGCAAGATTCTTCGCCCCCTACACCTATAATTGGGGAGGCTCAGGGCTACCGGACGACGGCGGCGGCTCGCGGCGCCAGCCCAAAAAACGAAAAGAAGTGCGCCGCAGGCGGTTAGGCAAAGCTTGGCACGCCGTGCGGTGCCGCCAGGCCTGGCTGTACCGGTGGTAGTTTAAAGAACTCGCTCACCCGTCATTAGCGGCAGCAAATGAGCACTGGCTAAAAGCAGAACTCGAAGCACGAGGCAGCATCTTCTTAAGAGAAAAAGGGAAAAAACAAAAAAACACGAGGCACGATAGATACCCCCCCACAGATGAGCCTAGCTCAGTTGGTACACCCATGAGCATTTGAAATACCGACCCCAGTTCGAATCCACGTGCAATCAGATGACCAGAACAGAATTCTAATTTTGAATTTAAAAAAAAAAAGGATACATACCTTGATTTTGATGAGAGTTCATAACGAAAGTGGGAAGGCAGGAAGCCATAACCACCAATACTAAGTAGTTAAGGAATGAAAGACAGGGAGGAAGATATGCCCCGGCACAACCGCTGCCCGCTCAACGTACCTAGCCAATGCTTTGCCAAGTAGGGCCAAACCCTCCCACCTCTCCAACCTACCTTATCTTCACAGCACCTGCGCGACACAACAAGTCAAGCCTGCCCATTATGTTAGAAGCCGGAAAGGAAGGAATAACTGGCAGGAAGATATGTCCCCGGTGCAACCACCACCACCCACTCAACGCACCTAGCAAATACGTTGCCGAGTAGGGCCAGACCCTCCCACCTCTCCAACCTACCGTACCTTCACAGCACCTGTGCGACACACCGAGTCAACGCTGCCCATCATGTTCACTTATTAGAAACCGGAAGTCGCCTCAATGCACTTTTTCAGACAAAAAAAAAAGTGCATTTGTCAACAACCTGTAAGAACGAACGAATCAAAATGTCAATGGATGTAAAACTTTGAAATCTTCCATGGAAATAAAACAGGAACTCTCACGTTTCCAACTCTCGCTACGTACTGAGAGCGGAGATCGGAAAGTTGACGTTCACGCGTGAGACAAGACTCGCCGAGAGGAAGGTGCTTTCAAACTCCACCAAAGCACCAACCAATCTGCAGCTCGGCGTAAAAGCGCACTGTCAGCGACACTGAAAAGAGGGAAAAAAACGAAAAGAGGACGCATGACTGAATGAGACCACAACGCAGACACACACACAAAAAGAAGAAAGGAAAAGAACAGAAGGAGAACAGGAGCCCAGAGAACAAAGGCATGGCCCTGTCCTGCAGTCTGATTAAGAAGATAGTACGTATCCATTACTGGACGCGCAGGGCAGATAAGGAGAGATCGCAGAGAGGCAAGAGAGAGAGAGAGAGAGAGAGAGAGAGAGAGAGAGAGAGAGAGAGAGA